TGGAAATAGAGTTCACAAAGTTGGAAGGAGCGGCTCGACCAGAGCCGAAGAAAGAAAAAAGCCCACAAAAAGGGAGATTGCCCAGGAGAAGTTCGCCCAAGAGGAGTGGGACAGAAACGGCATCGCCCAGAAGATAGGGTAAATATTCGAATCGGGAGAAGAGGGATGAGTGGCAGAGGAGGCCATTGATGTTCGAAAGACAGAGGTATCATAATTTTACACCCCTGAGGAAGGACTTGATGGAGGTGCTCGAGGCTATGGAGTAGAAGATGTCCAACGAGGATGTGACCTGGCCGAAGACGAGGTTTACAGGCCTAATTCGACCTAGGTCGGACATTTACTATCGTTTTCACCAAGATTATGGTCATACCACGGAGAACTGTAGACATTTGAAGGATGAGATCGAGAGGTTGATTCGAGCTGGGTACCTGAAAGAGTTTGTGTATCAGGATAGAGCCAAAGGGAAAGGAAGGAGAAGGTGTTGGGAGGATTCAAAGGAAAGAAGTGACAGGGACAAGGAAGGAGGTGACGGAGATGGTCGAGATGATCGAGGAAAGAAGCCGAGGAGAGATGGCGATAAGGGAGGGCACGGAGGAGAAGCCCCGATGAAGAGAGGGACGATTTACATGATTTTCGAAGGGCCAACGGATGGTGACTCGAATAGGGCCAGGAAGGAGCATGCTCGAGCTGTGAAGAGGAAAAGAGAGGAGGTGAGGATTACGCTCGTATGCCGGTGATAAGTTTTAAGGCGGAGGATGCCGAGGGAGTGGTCCTACCGCACAATGATGCTTTGGTGATAACCTTGGAGGTTGCATGTTTTGACGTGAAGAGGGTGTTTACTGATATCGGGAGTTCAGTAGACGTGATGTTCTATGACTGTATTGTGCAAATTAATAAGGAGTTGAATACGGAGCTGAGGCCGGTGGCCACGACACTTTATGGCATCAATGGAGGAGAGGTGGTGCCGATGGGCGAGGTAAGTTTGCCAGTGGCGTTGGGAGCGGGAGAGCTGAGGAAGGTGCGCATAGTGAGGTTTGTGGTCGTAGGAGCTGAATCATCTTATAACATCATCATGGGGCGGACGAGCTTGAATGCATTCTAGGCGGTCGTATCCACGTACCACATGACGATCAAGTATCCTGTGGGCGAAAACGTAGGGGAGATTGTGTAACACCCCACTAGCTTACTAAAATCAGAGTGCGATTTTCGCAAATCCTTTTCTAAAGTTTACGGTTTATTTTGCGAAACATAAATCGGGATGCTACATAAAATGTTTCTTTTCTAAATATCCGTTAACTATAAACCCATTTATGAAAAACGGTTTATCATTATAAAACAAGCGTGTAATGCTGTATAAAACTAGACCCGAAAACTCGGATCGTCGTCTGAAAATTTACACGCTAGTTTGAAAGTCTGAAAACGTCAGCGGAAGTAAAATGTGGCAAATATATACATATCAACAATCTGCAAAAATATATACATATTTACATGTACTGGACCGGCAACCACCAGCTCCACTCACTCCTCCAGACTGACACTATCTCCTGAAAAGAATTATAATAGTGGGAGCGTGAGTACTATAAACACTGTACTCCGTAGAAACTCATACTAGAGTAAACATCAAATATAATATCAATATCATGACTGCAGGTATATATGAATAAGCTGTAATCTGTAAACTCCAGACACGAGGTCTGTACTGAACTGGCCATGTGCACACTCTGATGGGCAATTAAGGCTACTGCACCTCCACCAGAACTCTGGATGGGCAATTAAGGCTACTGCACCTCCACCCAAAGTGGAATAACTGATATACATACCTTAAAACATGATAGAGCAATTATAACCAATGTAATACCCAGTCTGAGTTCCCACATGTACTGATAATGTAAGTGTTGCTGCTGATCACTCTGTAAAAATTATATAAATAAACAAATACTAAGTATTACGCTCAGACTGACTGAAAATAACTGTTAAGATGCTCGACTCGATCTAAATATTTAACTGGAATATTCTCGGGACCTAACTTGACTGACAAGAAAAACCGGACTGAACTGATACCGGTGTACTGGATTAACTGGACTGAAAAATTAACTGAAATACTGGACTGGACTCGAACCGGGTCAGTAAATACCAAACAACTCCCAAACCGGTCTAAACAGGCCGGTTCATTTTCTGGCCGGACCGCCGGCTCGCTGCGGCCGGGCGGTCGGCTGCTGGCTGACCACCGGCACGGTCACTCGTGCACGTTGGGCG